ACACCCGCTCCTCCTCCCACCCCCACTTCCACTCCCGTCCCACCAGCAGCACCCTCCGCACCCTCCGCACCTTGCCTCTCCTTTCCCTCACCAGCCTTCGCTGCAGAATACGCATTCGTATGCAACCCCATTCCACGCCCAAACGCCCTCTCCATCAGACTCCCGCTTCTGATCCTTCTTCGTCCTTGACGGCGCCTGCCTTGTTATCTCCCAGTGCGCGTATCGAGGTGGTTTCGTGGCGTAGGTGTAGGCTAGTCAGGTGATCGTGGGCGTGGCGGAGGTTGAGGTGGGAGTGGTGATGGGGGTGAGGGTGGTGGTGGTGACGTTGGCAGTGGAGGAGGACGGGATGGAGTTGGGGTTGGGAGTGGAGGATTTGGAGGGCGAGACGGTATTGGGTGCAGCGCTGAGCGTATAAGTGGAGGTCGACGAAGTCGTGGTTGAAGTCAGCACTCGCACTCATCGTCACCTCGAACTCCTGGGGGAAAGGAAAGACGAATGCCATCTTTCTGTCGACTTGCGAATCACGTCGAACAGCTTCGCCTGCATGTCCAACGCGTCCTGCGACGGCCCATTCCTGCTCCCACGCCGTGCTCTAGCGACCCTCCCATTCACATTCCTATTCCCGCTCCCATGTGTGCACACTTCCGCCTTCGATCTATCCTCTAACACAACACACCCTCCCCAATCCGTCGCAACTGGCATGGTCTCCCTTCCTTCTCCCGCTCCTCTTCCGGCCACCAACACCGCCAGCACCATCCGCACCCTCCCTCTCCTCCACCTCAACCGCCTTCGCAGCAAGATCCGGATTTGGATGCACACCTGCATTACACAACCAAACCGGCTGTATTGGGTGCGGTGGGCAGCATAGAACTGGACGCTGACGAGCCCACATTCAGGGTCGGCTCGCTCGCACTCGTTCTCGTGTCGACCTACTTCGGAAACGGAAGCCCAAACGTCCCCGGAGTGCGATACTTCGGCCTAGGTATTTCTGGGAAGGAGACATAAATGTGCCACGGGAGGTTTTCCGTCGCTGCGCTCGCAATGGGTGAATGTCGCCCACAGTTGGAATCCGCGCCTGCATGCAAAGGAAGGGGTGATTAGAAACACGACAAAGGGGAACTGAAAAGGAGGACCTGAAGAAAAAGGGAAACAGCGAACAAAAAAATTAAACGCACCCTCGTCACCATCTCCAACACAACCCTCACCCATTCACTCCCGCTCGGAAACCTCACCACCCCGGCAACTGTCACCCCTCCTCCAACCCCCCCGCCAACATCGCCGCCAACTCCCTCTCCAGATGCATGGTTGCGCACGGACGAGATGAGGTCGGCGCCGATAGCGCTCACTATTTCGGAGATTGTGCAGTTGTTGTCGATGCCGATGCCGTAGCCAATGCCGTAGCTGTTGTGGTTGTGGTTGTGGCGGCGATGGAAAAATCGAGGGTTCAAATTCAGTAAGGTATGGATGACAGGCAACGTGAAAAAGAGGAAAAGAAGGAATGTACCGAGTCGGAAACGCAAATCTCGCGACGAAGACTTTATTTGGCCCTCACATACCCCACCCTCGCCCTCTTCGCGAAGTCTGGGCCATGCTATTATACAAATCCTCCGGCAGGGCAGTATTACTCCCGCGCGTGAGTGAGAAGGATCCACCGACGAGTTCGAATGTAGTGGAGAGGTTGGAGCTGTATATGACGGTCGTGTGTGAGTGTGTAGGGGGGGCATTGAAGAAGGAGAGGCCTGAGGAGCAGGCGGCTTGCGAGGTTAGCGGTGGCACCGGGCAAAGTTTCGCGTGGGCACATGAACAATCTCTGTGGAAATGCAATGGTTGCATGAGTAAGAGACGATGTGGGAACGCATTATGGTATGGTTACTTATGCGATATCTCATGTTCATACGCCTATGCAGCCGCCGAGAGCGTAAATGAGAGCTGCGAAGTTTTAAGCAGTGGACCCGAAAGGGTCAAGCACCACTCTATGCTCTGCACACTCAACAATTCGTGCTTGATGATGCGGGATACCAGGAAGCACTGTTAAATCTGCGTGGAACGCAGCCATGTGAGCACGAGATGCGAGCGGAGGCTCAAAGATTTGAGCTGTGCACACGCACTGCTTTCACGGAAGAGACGTCCCAGGGCGCATCTGGATCTGCAGGCGCGAATGCGACTTAGTAGAGTGCATCATAAAGAGGCTGTGCGATGGAGGAGAATGCCTGGAGGTCGTCGTCGAGGTGTTCAAGTGTGGCCTCGAATAAGGATTGGCCAAAAGGGTCGAGTCCGAGAGTACCACGTTCGAAGAAGTTTCTGTCCTCGAAGAGAGGGTGTAAGAGCCGGAGTAATACACGCAATTGCTGAGCAGATACGAAAACGCAAGGAGACAATTTGCCAGACGGCGGCGACGGTGAAGAGAGAGGCGCGCGAAGGCAGTGTGAACCTAGTATGAACGGAAGGCGCCGACTGCCACTTCACCGTCTCCTCGGAGCCACTACGCGATCTTTGTCTTACCTCTGCTTGTACCTGTTAACGTGTCTTGGTTGAATTTTGACTTGATTCCTATTAAGCCCGCCGTAGGGTAGGCCGGAATGGCATGGTTTGTTTTTCGACGCGTGACGCCAACTCGCCGCATAAGACACACGGTCCGGCCGCTTCCGGGCTACACCTTCGCTGTTCTTCATCACTTTGCTCTTGTCTTCTGCTAGTCGTCGTCGCTGTCGTCGGTAGTAGTGGACTATGGCTAGGCTATAGGTAACTAGCAGCTGTATATGCTCCTACTTGCATTCAGACTCACCTCTCAGCTACGTTTGTTGTGTTACGCCTGTGCTACATATCTCATCGAGATAGTATTTGCACAACGCCGACTTTGCACAACACCGACTTTGCTCTGGAGCACATCTTGCTTGTGCGAGCCAGAATACAACATCCCCACTGCAAGAACCCGCGTTCATGGTACTATGTAGGTCACCGTGTCGTTTTGATGCGACAGGACGCTAGGTATGATGTCGTGTTACTGCACAGATGGCAAAGTTTTGGCCTTTGCTACCGCGACGTGACGTCATGGCCGTACGTCCACTTATACATATGTTCGTTTAGATTTCGCACCAATAGGATGGTTTTGGTACGCCTGAAGGACACAATAGGATTTGACGCATCGCGGCGTCGGGTCCCAGGTGTCACAGTCCGCCATGCAGAAGTTGGAGTACAAGTATGGCCGATCCAGCTTCCGCCCATGCCCTCTGCTCTCGCCCGGAACGTGTTAAGCTCATGGTGGACACGCCCAAGCCTCCCTGTCATCACGTTCTCCACACGTAAAGCCCACTCGCTTCTTTCGCATCTACACCTTCTGCTTTGATCTGCCCAAGTCCACCTCTCGCTCCTTCCGACGAGGCTCAGGCTCTCCGTTTTTCTTCTTCTTTTCCTCTCTATATTCTATGGCGCCAACCACCCCCCCTCGAATCGCTCATCGATGATGGTGCACTCGAGCTCGTCTCCGTCCTTGGCTATGGAGGTTATGGTATCGTCTATCGCGCTGTCGAGACCACCTCCACTTCCGTGAAGCCAAAAATGGAGTTTCTACTGGTTTTGAATTTGTTGCAGCATTTCTTCAAGTACCACGCATGATATGTGGCCCAGACCAGATGCGATACGGAGCTAACATTCCGATCTCAGATCCAGTCACGGAACGAGGCCACGCGAGCATGTCCCCGGAACTGTGGGGCCGATATCTCCCCCACAGTTCCGGGGACACATTTCGAAGTCCGCACTTTCGTTGAATTGTTCTGTTCATCAATTACTTATGAGTGTTGTGCGCGCTGAAGCTCTGAAGGCCCAGAAAGGCTTGCTTAGGTCGTGATCCATTTGATTTCCAGGGCCTCTCGATCTTGATTGCTGCTGTTCTATTAGCATGGTTTCTAGACAACGCCGGTGGTCCTTGTGTCAGGTTTGAGACGGCCACTCCCTTGTTCTTTTGTCTGGTTTCAAGTTGGAACAATAAGGATCCAAATAGTATATAATACTCTTACTCTTCCTCCCTGCTCTTCCTCTCTTTCTCCTGCATATCGGTTCCTCTCAATGTTGTTCGCGAGTTACTCGTGTCGGCACATATTCCTGTGATTCTCGGCTTCCTATTCGACACGTTTGCTCTGCTTACTCCTAATCCGCATGTCTTCTCTTGGTGCCGTGTTCACTTGTGTTATCCATCACTCGGAGCGGGACGCTAGAGTGGGTGCCATTTAGCCTTCTAAAGGTACAGGGGGACCCTGTTGGCATCTAGGTTAAACTACACTTGTGTTCGCTGCTCCTTGAAATGTGCGTGTCCAGGATATGGATGTACGCAGCGTTGACCCCTCCACCATCCGGAACAATAGTTTGATCTTCGGTACGCCCTCACCAGCTATCTAACTTTCTTTGTTTCTTCATCAAATCCTCGCTGACCTCGCTCGACAGACACGAGCTCAGAACAAAATGATACCGGTTTATGACTCAGAACACGACTGAGCTCGTCCATCGTCTAGTGTCATCGCTCTTTCCAAATAGGACCATGCTCCAGATTGATAAGATCTTGCCGGTTCGTTCTCCTGTTCCTCACCAACTCGGGTGTCAGTTTCTCTAAGGAACACAATCTTAGCCACACTGCGAAGGCAATATCGTACCCGCAGACTGACAGTGCTCCCCGTACGTTCATCTCGTCCCTCTAGTCCCTCCCTCCAGTCCGCGCTCACCATCAACCGCAGCGTCATTGAGATCTATGGCTCCTTCTCCGCCGACAATCGTATTCGCCGCCCACATATCCTGTATGGAGCAATAGGACAACACTTCCATAGTCAGAATTCTCAGGGTCTTTCACCCCGGTACGCTCCTCTCCATTTTGTTTCGTCCCTTTTCATTTCTTTCTCGTTCTATTCTGGACCTGCCTCCCATTTCCCTCGTTCAAGATTAAATATCACACCTCTTCCTCCCTCTCTTCTTTACGCTAACTCCTTGTTCACCACAGAAATGCCACTCTACATGGAGCTCATCATGACCATCCTCCGCGACATGACCGACGGTTTCGACTATACCGTGTTCCGAGTGATGCTCGCACAGCAGAAGTTCGCAGGGACGCAGAAGGCGATGTTGAACCTTCGTCTGGTGCTGTTAGATTCTTGTCTCAAGGGCGGGTCGGACGAGAATAGCGTCTAGACGCATTTTAGGGCCGGGGGGGGGGGGGGGGGGCTGGGG